CACCCCCCAAAACCTTGCCACACAAACCCAAAACACGTCCTTAAGAGAAGGACATGGTAATACTGCTGCAGGGGTACTGCTCTTCCTGCAATTAAAAAACCCGCATGATTTCAGCCTAAAACTGTCAGCCTGCACCACTAACAAAGTTTCGATATTTCACTGTTTATGCAGAATTTGACATCAGTGTTTCTGTGAGTTTCTTCACCATTCCTGGTCAAGATGCACAATGGTAAAAATCTGTGGCTGGCAGAAATACTGTACGTGGTCATGGGAGGTCTTAATTATTTTCTCTGTAATGCCCAGCAGACTGAAATTTTCCCCAGATGTATAAAAATGGGATTTGAAAGCCTCAAGAGCCGTAAGATTACTTCCCTCAAGCCCAGAAGGTTTATATTAAAAATGTCATTAGTTAAAAAAAAAAAAAAAAAGCCAAATCAGATGCATTCAAGATCAAAACCTCTTTGCACTGAGGCTGGCTGTATTTTTCAGCTGAGAAATATAGAAACTTTTTTTTTTTTCCTCCTCCTGATAAATACCACATGAAAGATTAGCCATTTAAAGTCTTCATATTTACAGAAATAACCAAGATTCAGATTCAACTGCTTCCCTCTAATCATCTCCCCACATGAGTCTCCAATGGGAAAGCAGCCAAAAAACTCCACATATGCTCCTTGCAGGGCTGAGTCTCGTCTAAAGCTCTAAGATATGGGAAACAGGTCAGTCTGTACAGTTCCTGGAATAATGAATTGAAATAAAAACAAGGGTCGTGTTCACTGTCCCCTGGCCATTGTCCTGGTCCTACTCCCTTCAACCCCCTCCCCGCCTCCCACTGTATATTGGATGTGTTCAGCGTAAAGCATAGATTTAAAAAGAAATCTGCATAAATGGGGCTTATAAAAAGGAAGGTGGAGAAAATCTGCTGCTTTTTGCTTTTTCACAAAGCCCACCCTAGGTTCCTGTTGGTGTTAAAGCACAAACTCCATCTCTTCACTCCTCTCTGGCTCTTGGAGATCAAAATTTGAGTCACGCCTTGGACACCACGGAGCCTCATAACGCATTGTACTCCACGCATTTCGATGGGTCTGTTGGGAAGTGCTTCTGGCAAATGGTCATGAGCCTCTTCAGCCCCTAGGAATTAATGAAACAAGGACAATTCTGTAATAAAACTGCAGCTGTCAAACAAACTTAATAGTCTACAGTATTTTTAAGCTTAACAAGAAGAATTCAAGACGAACGGCTGCTATTTTGGGGTTGTTTTTTGAATCTTTCTGCCTGCAAAGTTATCTCCAATATTACAGGAGTCTGTGACATAACTGAAGAGACTACAGCTTCAGTCCCTCATGATAGATTGATAGTGAAGGATCACAGTAATGCTTTAGTCCCTCTTTACCACCACAGGAGAAAATGATACTATCACAAGAAAAGATATTTAAAAGAAACCTGAGTATTAAAAGTAACTCTACAGAGCAAAAAGCAATTTCTGACACCAAAACAAGCTGCACGGCTACGAGAAGAAACAGTTTCTCAGGAGGAGAAATGTCCTTCCTCCCCCATGGTGGTACCGCACCTGACCTACACCATGGAGGCAAAGTGAAGAAGTAATCAAGAAGAAAGGTAGAATGTGGACTTGTCTCTTCAGTTCTTTCAAGGCATCGATTGCCAAAAAACAACACGACACAAACCCTGTGATTATTTTCTTTCAAGTCATGCAGAAAAATCTAACAAAGAAGAAAGAGAATTGCTGCGGTGGTAGCGTAATTTAGCAGTGACATGGTACTCCAAGATGAGAGAGTCGTATGCCTCTCATTAGACACTCATCATGGAAGACAGCTCCTCACTAAAGGGAAAAATGATTCAACAGAGGATGCTTTGGCCTTTTCAATGCAGGCTTGTCCTAGCGCCAGAATGACTCCATGTTTAGGATGTTACAATGTCAGGTTCCGTGTAAATCAGACACAGGTTAGCTGGATGTAACTGCTGAGAGCACAGATAATCTTCCATGCTCCAGTTTGAACCAGACTAGCTAAACGAGTCCTGGTATTTAAAACCAATGGAGAATATACATGTTTAAAGCCAACTTTGTCTTGGCGCTTCAGTAAGTTGTGTAATTCAGAAGCACCAATATGAAATTCACAGTGGGAAGATGGAGACGAAGATTTCCTTGACCAATAGATGTAACCCCAAAAGCAGAGAAGGGACAAACCAGGGAATTCATATACATTGTATCTTCCACAAGGTATGCTAAGAGAGATCAAGCAACACTACAGAGTAGAGATCCTTCTGCTAGGAGAGTGGCAAATGGACAGCCAGCCAGTTATTCGCCGAAACTAAAGAAGCATTATTGCCATGCTGAGGCCCACAACAATCTTCCTTCAGAGTCCAAATGCCTTTTTTTAACATAGCCTAACAACAAAATTAGTTTAACATAAAGCTATTTCATCCATTAAATATTCCCAAGCACAACTACAGGCTGGGTGAAGAACGGATTGAAAGCAGCCCTGAGGAGGACTTGAGGGTACTGGTGGACAGTAAGCTCAACACGACCCGGCAATGTGTGCTCACAGCTCAGAAAGCCAACCGTGTCCTGGGCTGCATCACAAGAAGTGTGACCAGCAGGTTGAGGGAGGGAATTCTGCCCCTCTACTCTGCTTTCAGGAGACCCCACCTGGAGTACTGCATCCAGCTCTGGGGGCCCCAGTACAAGAAGGACATGGAGCTGTTGGAGAGAGTCCAGAGGAGGCCACAAAGATGATCAGAGGGCTGGAGCACCTCTCCTATGAGGACAGGCTGAGAGAGTTGGGGTTGTTCAGCCTGGAGAAGAGCAGGCTCCAGGGAGACCTGATAGCAGCCTGCCAGTACCTAAAGGGGCTACAGGAAAGCTGGAGAGGGACTGTTTACAAGGGCAGGGAGTGACAGGACAAGGGGGAACGGCCTTAAGCTGAAGGAGGGGAGATTTAGATTAGGTATTAGGAAGAAATTCTTTACTTTTAGAGTGGTGAGACACTGGCACAGGTTGCCCAGAGAAGTTGTGGCTGCCCCCGGCTCCCCCGCCGTGCTCAAGGCCAGGTTGAAGGGGCTTTGGGCAACCTGGTCTAGTGGAGGGTGTCCCTGCCCATGGGAGGGGGTTGGGACTAGATGGGCTTTAAGGTCCCATCCAACCCAAACCAGTCTATAAGTCTAAGTCTGACACTAACTGGAATAAGTCTCAGAAGACGTATAATCTACATGCCAATTGCTTGAATTTAATTTGTTGGCTGTGTCTGCAGCTTCAGAATGATACTTTCTCAGGTCATGATATTAAAAACTACAGTCGAAGAGAAACCAAAGTTTATACTTGTAGCCCCAATACAAAGAGACTCAAGATAGAAGGGGAAGTTGCATTTTGCAAGCAATCTGCTTGCAGACATCTGCAGAAGCTGAAAAGCAATGGGAGTCCTGCCGCAGCAGGAAGACATTTATGTAAACCTCCCCTGCCAGAACCTCTGAGTTCCATGATGCTGCACTGGAGGCTTTAGAGTTAAGCCAGAAGGCTTTTATCTCAATGAAACTGCAACTGGCAAGAGGCAAATACATTTAGCCGTACAAGGAGAGGAGACTTGTTTCCTCAGACAAGAAAAACACCACTGCTACTAATTCCACAAGCAAAAGAAGTTCACAACATGAGTATGAATGAGTTCCTCTACGACAGGAGTAACTTAACCTGGAATTTTGAGCCCACACTGTTAGAAAGGCATGTCTGAAAAATGAATGCATTTATCTAGTTGCAGAAATAGACAGAAGGACTGTATTTCATGGTGTTAAGTTCCATCCATGATGTTCAAACCATGAGTTAAGCAGGAAAGGAATTCAGAAGAATAAAGCATGTCTTCACAGCGACTTCAGCGTTCATATAGGATCACAATAATTAAGACGCAGAAAAACCCAGTAGATGCCATTCCTAGCCCAGCATTGAAGAGCCTTCAGGTCCAGGATGAGCTACCTATTAAATGGATGTCATGTTTGACCTAAACTAAGGCTACTCTCCATTTCTAGGACCTTCTTACCACATCACCTGAAACTAGTATTTCTCAAATATCCCCTAACTTCAAACACGAATCTGTTGGGATTTCCAAAGCTAACATTACCTGTATATATTTCCTCTGAGTTTCATCATTGAGAACATGGGCTACGTGCTTGGAGAAAATCTTTTCACGACCTGTTCGAGCATGGATGCCAACCATAGTGACGCCAATAGGCCAGGGAGCATTTCCAATAGCCATCTGAAGGTAGGCATCGTTCGCCTGAAAAAATACAGCACATATACTCTTAGCAAAACAGAAAGAGCATCAGAAAGCTGAGCACTGTTGCATTGCCGGATATAGCAACAACACATATTCCAGTCTCTCTGAATCAGGTTTCATTGCACGATATTAACCAATTTTACAACACATATTCCTAACACAATTCAAGTTTTTGCTGAACTATGAGGGAAACAAGGACCATGGACTTTACCCAGTGAAAGAAAGCACTGGATAAGGCAGTCTAATATTGATTAAGACTAAAGTTTACTGGGACTATTTTCAACTCTGCCTTCTCAGGTTCCCATAAGCTTTTCTGCTGTAATCACCTTTACAACCCTTGTCATTTCGGGTGAAGACTAGACCAGGGAACCTGTCTCTAAGTGCAGCCCACTGCAGGTTGATGTTGTGTGTGCAGAACTGAGGTCACCTGGTACACAGCAGTGCACTGGAGCCTGACAGCTCTTGTGGAGCACAGCTAGCTTCCAAAGGGGCTGAGAACCAGCTCTCCACAAAACTGAGTTAAATAAGCACATTTGTAACAATGTTTATGAACAGAGCAGGAGCAGCAGTAAATTAATTTGAAAGGTGCCAATCAAGATAGCAGATCCCGTTCTTAAGGTAAAGCTGTAGCAGACAACATCCCTGGGGAAGAACAGGGATAAAACTTTAAGGGAAAATTAATAAAAAGAAAGGGAAAAAGGAAGAGAGAAGTACAGGGCTTAAAAAATGACAGTTGAGAACTAGGAAGTGAGGGGGACAGCCATATATATGCAATTACAGAAACAGCATCAAGAAGGATGCGGAGCAGGACACTCCTCCACTGTTAGCGAGCAGCTACAAGACTCGCTGATAAAGAGTTCATTTATCAACTCTCATTTACAGACCAGAAAATAACAAGTAGTAGTCATGACCAGTGGCTGCAGTTTCTTCCCATTTGGCACTGAGCAAACTGGGACATGAATAATGAACAAGGCGGGGGTTGGAGACGGAGCTGAGAGTAAACCTGAAGAAGGGACATGACTTTATCTTCACCTACATGAGGCAGAATCTTAGTTAAATACCTACTTACTAACTTAAATATGGGTTTGTGATGAAACATAGTACCTGAGTATGCAATTAAAGACCTTTCCAGGACTGTCACAACTGGGTTAATTAAGGTTGAGTGGACAACTTGCATTCTGGCATTTACCTACTGTCACATGTTGGATTTCAAAATTTAAATCTTTTGAGCATTTCACCTAAGAAAGCAGTAGGACAACCAAAAGAAAAAAAAAAAGCCCCAAACAAAACCCCACTATCATACATCCCGCACTTTCAGTTCTGCTTTCAAATGACTTGGATTAAACTTGCCTTAGGCCATCTAAAGTTTTTTCAATAACGAAAGGAGGTTTGCTTGCTTACTTGACAAATTATCCCAAGTCTCACAAGAATAATATGAAATATGAGAAATTTAAAGGCACAACACAGCTCAATTTCTTCTGCATACACAAGCTGCTTAAGCAAATGCTATTGGTATCTGAGTTCCACTTCTGAAGGCAGCTACAAACAAAACCTAATGCTGCCTTTGATCTTGTGTACCAAAGTACTTCTGCCTCCTCCAGCAGGCAGACTTTGTCCATAAAACTTTTCATTAACTTATCTCAACCTTACCACGCCAGCTAACATTAGCATAGCCAAAGGAAGGGACCGCATCTCATATTCAATAACTCAGTTCACCTCAATTAATTCCTAATTAATTAATCAAGACCCTATTACTAATAATTCAATGCCTTCATTTAACCTTACAATATCAGGTTACCCATTCAGGATTCCTCAGCGACTTAATGTAACCATCTCTGAGAAAAATTCTCTTTGTGCTTGCAAAGCTCTGCAGTTTCCCCAACCTCAAAAGATCTTCTGACAGGCTGTGGATCAAACATGATCCAGAGCCTAACCTTTAGTAGCCTTTTTTCATTTTGTTTGAATATACGTTGTGCGTATTTCCAGCTATATATCTTCAAAATGCAAAAAAATGAGAATGTTGAAGTAACAAACTCAATCTATTAGAACCAGACAGTCTGAACGTGCCGGAAGAGTGCAAACAAACATACCTTCACATATTCTCTTTGCAACATGAATTTAATAATATCTGTTATCGATTCTTTGATGTCTGCAGGAAGTGTCTACAGGAGAAGAAAAAAACAAAACAAAACACAACACATCTTTACTTCAGAACAGCAGGTCAGGAAAATCATCCTACTCAGCATTTACGCAATGTTTAGCACCTACCCTAGCTTGAGGACTTTAACAAAGGAAAATGTCTTTGTTATTTAGATGAAGGAACTGAAGCAAGAGAGGTTAAGTGGTTACACCTAGTAGCTAGTGGGGAAGTGCAAAATAAAATCCCCATTCTCTATCACATTTGCAACCCAATGAACAGGTGATACGTAAAGCAACACCTGGAAAAGCAGTGAGTAGGCAGAAGCATTCACTGATCAAGATACAGATCTTGATATCTCTGGATACAGAAACCCTGACCAACTCACTTATCCTCTCTTCTTCAGTGAAGAAAACATTACTTTAGGAAAGGGCACTAACCACTGGGTACTCAGAAAGCAGAAGTTAAAGTCTTAGAGAATAGTGACATTTAAAAGCGATTCACCCTTTTCCGAAGTTTTCTGAAGAGTGGCCTGAGGTACGATTCTGTCTGCTTTTGAGTAGCGCTGTTCAGCTTTCCCTGTACTCCCCGTTTCACGTAGTCTTCTCTGGCATTCAGCTCCTTAGCCCAAACTCCAAGAAGAAACTGTACAAAGAACAAGCAAAATTGTGTCATAGTGCCATCTAGTGACTACCTCGGCAAAATACACGGGGAGAGTGTGGTTTAAGCCACCATGGCAAAATGAGTTTTTTGGAGAAATCTGAATTAAATAGACAAGTCTCTTTCAGAGGGATAGGCAAGGCAGGATATGAACAATTCTCCTATCGTAAAACCACGTGGGTGAGGGAGGAGCACGTATGAAAAGGCATGTACAAGGAAACAACAATGCAGCTATGAGTGCTGGGAGGGAGGAGGGGTACGTATAAGAGCAAAAATCTAAGTAGAATAATGATGTTTCAGGGTAACTTTTGCGAAGGAGCCTAAGGAAGAGTAAAGATCACAGTGAAAATTCAGCACAATGGAAGGCAAATATGTCAAACATACCTTCACTCCACCTAGAAAACCATTTTTGAGCTTTCTTTGTCTGACTGCCCAGACAAACTATACTAAAATACCAAAGCATCTGGCACGCACAAACGAAAGCTTCGACTCTTGCTGTGACTTCCATTCATCACAATAGTTATACAGGGACCAGCTGACTCAAATGAGAGGCAATGCAGGCTTCTTGCCAAGAAACAAGGAAATTATTTTCTACCATCCACTTGAACCTGTTTCCTCAGCAGAGCCACTGGACTTCCTTTAAAATTCTCTTATTTCACCTAACAGTACCAGGTGGCATTTTGGCATTTCCTTTCAGCTTGCACTGTTCCCGGGGAAGGGAGGCAGGGACTCTGCGGAAGTTTTTAATGCCATAGCTGTACATAGAAGCAACTACATACAACTGCCTCAATTATCATATGGAAATCAAAACCATATTGATTTTGTCTGGAAAAGTAGAACCAGATTTTGAAGAAAGCTGCTCTCTCAATAGCTCTTTCCCAGGTCTAGCAGAAGACACTACTGTGACTAACCGAGGCTGTGGAGTGCCAAGCATTAACAAAAAAAAACCCCAAAACCCAACAAAACCCAACCACCCCACACCTTAAGCATAATGTGCAAGTTTTTCTCTCCAAGCAACTGGAAGCAGCCCTTCTATTCATCAAATGTATCTGTGTGACAGTAGAAGATATGACACAGGCTACAAAGTAATTAATCTACTAAACCAGAGTTTGTTACCTTCAAGAACTTCGTTATGATGTCCATATCATAGTGATCATCACCCCGTCCTAAGGATTCTCCCAAAGCCTGGAACAGGAGGAAAAAAGGCAATTATTTCCACATTGTTGAGAAGTTTGCTGCCGCCACCACTGCAGCAGAGCACGATTCACTGCATCGTGATCTGTAATAAACTCCACCAGTAATACAAAACACTCATTAGGAAACGGACTGAACAACTATATATGTTACTGAGATTCATTAATCTATTAAAACCATTTAAGTCAAAAAGCAAATACGATCATTTCTGAAATGTCGATGCAACAGTAATTTTTCATTCATTAACTACTAAATTATTGGCATAATTAGCAGCTGACAGCACTGTATTAAGGGGAACTGTGGGTGTATTGCATTTTTGAGATCCCAAAAGCCATCAATTAACCTAATTATTTTGTTAAGCTATTTCAATCCTCTGATGTACTGTGGCTTTTTACCATTTCACTTAATTGTAACTGTGAAATTGAGGGAACAAATCAGGGAAAAAACTCAAAACTCACCAAAAAATCCCAACAGTATGCTCCAATTCTCTAGCTTCCTGCCAAAACCTCAAAACTGTTAATAGTAACAATATTTTAAGAAATATTTTCCAGTAGGTATAGTTGGATTTATAATCTATTTCCATTATCCTCACATTTCCAAAGTGAGTTTTATTTAACAAAATCTTTTAGATTTGGAACCAAATTCACTGTAAGCCTTTACACTCAAGGGAATCCAGTTAAAGTAGCATAAAATTAAGACTGCAGTGTTTTCAAACTTTTGAGACAAAAAATTACTTTCATGGCTCAAATCAAGCCTGCCCTAATACCTCAAAAAGGGGCTATTTTGAGAACTAACAGATCGGTAACTGCAGCCCCATTACAACTGTTATCCATTCTGGTACTACAACTATTCTGTACCAAAACCTCTAACAAAAGAAAGCCAAAGGCTATTTCCTAATAATAATTTATTAATTTAAGCTTTTAAGTTATAAATCAGAATATTTCTTAAACACATTTTTGGAAGGATGATATGAAGATTAGCTTCTGCAAAGAGTTTTGAAGATTAAGAGCGAAAGTCTTCAGCTCAAGTTAATGCGCCTTTCAAAACCATACCCTAAACCATACCCCAGGTGCTGAACGCGTTTCATGGCGTTCAGTCTCCACTCACACAAACACTGTGGTATTCTTTCAGAACATAGCAGTCATTTGCACTAAAGTTTCTGGGACACGTCATCTCTGCACTTCTGACATTTCCTGTGATCTGCCTACTTCTGATGTCCACTTTTTTTTGCCCTGGCTGATTTAATATCAAACATTCCTTTTGTGTGTCTATTTTTTAGACTCCATCTTTCTTGTATAAAGAAAATTCATCAGTACTAAGCTTATTACCCTCATTGGAAAGGCTTTAGAATTTACAACCAGGTAATGTATTTTTATTAAATTCCCTACTTCCAAAACCCCTGCAGAGGGAATCCTAACTGTATCTCTTTCCTTGCAGGTAACTCCCGCCCTCTTTTGGGTGAGGTGTTGTAAACAAAGACCACTTGAGTCTTCACATGTCCACCGTAGGCACCCATGGTGCAACTCATGGCTTAGAAACCTAAATTTCCTAACAAAACATATTTAACGACTTTTCAGAACGATGTTGGAAACAAGATAGCTTCGGGATGGTTTAGACAAAGTTTTCTCACAACAATGTAATAAGAATGATATACTACATCTAAAATCCTTTAATTAAAGTCTACCCATCACATACCTCCAGTTCTTCAATAGTAGTATTCTCTTCATGGACTTTCAAGTCATTCTGTGAGTCATCATCTCCTGCTTCTTGGCCGCCTACAATTTCATTCAGGTACTGCTGGTCAATCTTATCCAAAGCAGCCTTCAGGTCATTTCTCAGACCCTGGAAAAGATAAGAAATGACGCATTTACAAAGAAAAACCCAACTAAATAAAAGCAATTCAGTTCTGTCACAGTGAGTATCCAACCTCTGTTTCAGAAAAGCCCAATTCTGTAAAAACATGCATAAAGGACTAGCTTTGTTGTCTGAACTGAAACTGAATTCAAAGAACAGTTTCTGGATCACTTCAGCACTTAACAAAAAGAAGATGCATGAACTTTTGCAATGTTCACACCTACGAACAAGACTTTTTACCATATTTTCACCAGAAAAGCATGGAGCATTGAATCAACTTCTAGGAGTTTCTTCCAGACATTTTCTTCAAGGAATGCACTGAACCACCCCAAAACAAACAGAAAATACATCATAACTATCATCAGCTCTAGAGTCTTCACATCTGTCCCGAAAAAGCCTGTAAATAAGGTAGGTAACACTCCTTCAGTACTATCACATAAAAAATTTATGTCTTCCCCTTATTATCAATGATTTAAATATAGCAGAATGTTTTATATATATAAGCGTTTAAAATCCCCTGCTCTAGAATAGGTGATAAAAATAATACATACAGGGTTTCAAACTGATGCTGTAGTTAAGAGCTGCTTTTAAACAGAGTAAGAAACTCGGCTTAGTCACAGTTAGAGGACTTGCATTCTTATCTTGAGACATAAATTATAAAGCTCTGTAAAGGAGTATGACATTTCTTACCCTAAGATAAATTCAGCTGCTCCACTGGGAATATATAGTTATTTCCCCTCTTCCATCATCATACTTGACTGTCTGGAGTGTTTCTATTAATCATTTAGTAGTCTAAAAATGTCTGAACACCAAACTGGTTATAGCGACTACTCACATTTTAAGCAACACATAGCAACAGGAGTGACTGTGAAAAAAATCCAACACAATCCTAGTTATGTCCTAATACTCCTACTACAGTCGTTGATGTCACTAGGGGGAAGCTTTCACTGACAGCATTTTTTTTTAAAACTTTCAGATCTGTTTATCTTTTTTTAAAAGACTTGAACAGGTAAAGGCTTTCCTTTTCCATCAAAGAAGTTTCAAATAATTTAGTTTGCCACTAATTAGGGAAGAAAATCCAAACTGTCACTCCCTTAGCTGGATGGCAAATTTTGGTTACCAGCAAAACAAACCCCAATCGCATCTCCTCAACAGACCAATTCTCAAGGTAAAAGGAATAAATCAGTTAACTATGATATATCTTTTAGTCATTTTTTGACCTGATGGCTACTTGGCAGGGGGGGTGTGTGTGAAAATGAAGTTTACCTAACAAGTTATAGCTCTGGAATCAAGGGATTTGAACAAATCATTTCCATAGCAGAAAGACAGAATGCAGTCCTCCTCCAACTTACCTGTACCTTCTCAGAAACACATATAATCACAGACACAGGCTAGTTTTAACAGTGAATGACTGTCTTCTCTGCTGGTTAAAAAGCAGGTAAGAGCACAGGCTGGGGGATTACTGCCACCTGAAGGCCTCTTTTTCAACTGAAAAGGGTCCAGGGCTGAACTGTCCAGCGTAAGGAATTTTAGTTGTGTACAAAGCTATGACATTGAACATACTTTCTCAGGCAATAAATGAGGTGGAGCAGGTATTTCTCTTTGCTCTGTACTACCCCTCTCTCCTGAAAATTAACAGTTACTGAAACCTGTTTTCTGTAATTTTTACAGGGTTCCTCATTGGTTATGTCACTACAAATAAGTAACTAATAGCTAGCCACTCTTACCTTGTTCACTTCAGGTGCAAGAATTTCTATCTTCCTCAGACGTTGAAAGGCATCATAATCTGTTTCTCCAAACAGTCTGATTGGCTCACCTCTCTCTCGTAACCTCCTGATAACCTGAAAGGAATCAGAGCATTCCCTTACGCAAACTCGTAAAGGAAGCAAAATAAAGTCCAGAACGACAGATTTATTTACTTTGCTTAGAATAACAAGCTGAGCTGGACTGGAGAGGAAATGGCAATATTTTAAGCAGTAGAAAAATGTTCCAGATACTTGACAATCTAAATATAAAATTCCCACAGTATTTCAGTGAAAGGTCATTCCAAATATTACCAATCTAAATTTTGCATAAAATCCCAAGCTGTTTGGCATAGCCTAACTTCTTCCTGCTCTGACTTTTTTAAACAAATACACAAAAACATCCCTCTGGCCGAGCTTCAAAACCATTTTCAAAATCACAAAGGAACTTGACGATAATCTCACGCACCTACTTGTCCAGGGCAATAAAAATACTCCCTAACTAGGCTGCAGGTTGTCCCAGCACATCTGCAAGATGATTTGCTGAAAATTCTCATCCTTAAGCATTTGGCTAATATTAAAGTCGCATAATCTAATGTGTTAGTTACTTTAAAACTAGAAATAACAGAGGTATAATATCCTCCCGCGGCTGATTTGCAAAGTCATGGACTGAGCTAGAAACTGAACTTTATTCTCCCAGTTCCTTATCTCATGCATTGCTTCTAAATTTCTTTATACCTACCATTAATTATTTAGTGTATCAAGCAATAGGCTTATTGATATATGAATCACCACACAACACTGGTGATCAAGAGAAGGGCTTACAGTTCATTTCATGCCACCACTTCATCGTACCAATAGACTGGCTGGACAACAAGAAACTAAATGAATTCAGATATGAATTCGTTTATTCAGTTCAAGTGTCTTGCTGTACGTTGGCAAGCATTTGACTCGTAAATATATCACAAAACCAAGGGTGGATGGAATGCTGGCACAGCAACATCTAAACCTCGACCGACATGTGCACCCAAGCAGATCAACAGCAGTGAGACAGTGCGCACTACACAGGACATACAGACCAAACCTCAAACCAAACATGAAACCAATAGCTCATACTGCGATATACCGTGGTATACTCCTGTAAAAAACAGTAAGCATCTTGCAAAATTAAGGGGACATCTCTCATATAAAGAAAGGCTGAGAGAGCTGGGTCTATTTAGTCTGGAGAAGAGAAGACTGAGAGGGGAATCTCATCAACACTTATAAATATCTTAAGGGTGGATGTCTAGAAGAAGGGGCCAGACTCTTCTCAGTGGTGCCCAGTGACAGGACAAGCAGCAACAGGCACAAACTGGAACACTGCAAGTTCCATCTCAATATGAGGAAAAACTTCACTTTGAGGGTGACAGAGCACCAGAACAGGCTGCCCAGAGAAGTTGTGGAGTCTCCTTCTCTGGAGATACTAAAAACTAGCCTGTACACGATCCTGTGTAATCTGCTCTAGGTGATCCTACTCTAGCAAGGGAGTTGGACTAGATGATCTCCAGAGGTCCCTTCCAACCCCTACCAGTCTGTGATTCTGTGACATGTGACATCCCTGGATGATCTCAGCTGTAAATTTCAGTATTTCCAAGATTAGAATTTATTCTGTACTTCTGAATTTCTTGTTTCTCTTCTGCTTTGGGGTATAGATCCGTTTGTGAACTCACATTCATATAGGTATTTTTATCCTTAGAAAGGTCAAAGAACAGACCACCTGCTCTGACTTCAGGACTTTTTCTCCTAGAAATCAAGGTGAACTTCCAAAACTTAGTTTCTAAATTTGGGTTCAGACCAATGAGCTACAAAGAAAAGAACCTGGGGGAAAAAATCTTGGGGAAAACCAGCATGCCATCTTCAGTATTATCCAAGTATCAAGTATTATACTGATATTCAGGGTACTATTCTAGAAGTCATCTGAAAGAGCTGTAAAACATCATCTGTGCAAATCCACATGACAGAGGCTCTATCCATCTGTACCTCCTTATGCATTCAGTCGGACAGCAGATCCTTGATGAATGAAGATGACAGAATCACAGACTGGTTTGGGTTGGAAGGGACCTTAAAGATCATCTAGTTCCAACCCCCCTGCTGCGGGCAGGGACACCCTCCACTAGACCACGTTGCCCAAAGCCTCATCATTGTTGACTAAAAATGGAGGCTTAGTATTTAATACAAACTGCCATAAAAAGTACACTTCACTAGAAAAAGCAGCCCTAGCAAGAAGTTTCAGATGCATTTGCTGTAAACTGAAAAGTCTGGTCATGACGATTGATTTTACCTCCTGTCTAGAAAGGGTCATTGGCAACTTCTCTTCTGCCAGTTCAAGCTCCAGCACTGGATTTGATGAAGTCAGTGGTTTCTCCTCCTCTTCTTGCTCCTGTACCTACATTCAACAGACAATTACTAATGTGCTGATGGAAATAAACCCATATACTGATAGCAACGTGAAAATGCAGAACTCTGGAACACAGATTTTAATATGACAACTCAACCTTGAGTTTCATAGTTTTTATTGTGTATAATTGAATGTCACAGAACAATAAAAGCTTTAAAAAGTATCAGGATTTAACTAACACTTCTGCAGGTTGCAGGAAGCAGTCTCTATAGCAAATAGAAAGGACAATTGCTAAAGTTTGGCACTTTAGCAGGCAGATGTCAGCACTGGTGCCAAAAATAGCAAATCCACCCTCTGCCTGTTGATTCCTGCCCCTGCTCTATCCTCCTTACCCATGCAAAAGCATTTGAATTGCTATGTGATGAACCAGATGGGGGAAATGATTCAAACAGAAAATAATCTGGCAAACACAAAGAAAGGTATTCTTCCCAGCCCACTTCACTTTACCTCCTCATCCAGCTCACCAGTCGTAGCACATGCATCGACATAAGGGCAGAAATGAAAATCTCAGGACAGGGAGAGCGGGGCTGCTTCTTTCGGTGGCAGTATCAGCTTAAAATGTTTATTACCTACAGCTTCAGCGAGCTGAGTGCCATTAGCAGTGACCCATGGTTTCTATTGGGTTTAAGAGGTGCTTGTTTAAGGTAACACATCTTTCTAACGAGCTTGCCATAGTTTCTTGCGGGTTAGAAAAAAAAAAGGCACCTCCACTCTTCATAGGGATGGGATCTCATTAACAACTCTACTTAATCTAAAAGAAGGTCCCTGAATCAAACAGACCTTTCCTTCTTCATTTCTCAAATATTTTAATAATGCAAACCAACTCTTTGATCAAAGTAACTTTGAGACAGCAGTCATGTAACTACAGTTCTCTTTATAAGCTCAAATTTCACGCTTCTGACAGCATAAGCAGATTGCTGTTGGTAATATTCCTATAATAAGGCAACATTTCCAGTACTTACTCACATCTTGTTTTTTCCTAGACTCCTTATTAGAATTTATTTCCCTTTCGTTCTTGCCAAAAGGGAAATGCTTCACTTAATCCTATAGCACCCTGTAGCATTCTCCATGCATGGCAGTACACTGTCATTTCCAGTCTGTATTCGGGTTGATCAGTTTGATGAATGTACTAGACAGATTTTTTTAAAGAAGGTTTTCTATTCTTTCAGGCCAATGTGCCAGTCTTGCACTCTGGTGTCAGTATGGCTCCATACGGCTGTAAGGATCCACCTCTGTGGCTCCAGCTATAAGATTCAGCCACAAATCTATATTCAAAGCTATACTAGCAAGCACAGACATCAATCCTACAACCACAGGTGTTTGGAACAAGCAAGGGAAGGACAATCAAATCAATGCTTAACACATCAAGGGAGGGGAAAAATAAAACTTCTATCGATGCAGGAAAGGGGGAATTGACAGGGGACAGAAAATATGGAAGAAGTGCATAAATATAAAGAAATACACTCCCATGGCAGAAGGATACGTACAAATTTTAACTTACAAACATTCTTGAAATCATAAAGAGACAGCAGCATTGGGGGAAAAGATTTGATCCGTTCTGTCAGCTGGACACCAAGTTACAAGCGGTATCTTTACCACAGTTATTTTTGTTTCAATGCTTTCTTCAAGCAAGTCAAATTATTAGAACTTACTAAGTCTAAGCAAAGCAAAAAAAGCACCTGAATTTAAAAAGAAATCAGTCTATATGCTACATCTCATTAATACAGTAAAGATCAAATGCAGAAATCTGGGAGGCTCTAAAAAGGTACTAAATTTAACGAAGCAACTTATTTTAAAGCTGTTTTCAGAGTGACATTTCAAACCCAAACTGGTGCTGCAGCAGCACAGATAACTCCATTTTAACCTCCATGTGAGGTTCTGAGGAATTCAAGCTGATGCTCAAAAAGCATCACGTAGTCATTTCCACTTGGAAGAGCGACTGGATTCACAGAACACTTTCTCATGACTATATGCTGCGTGTTCTGAGAACCGTTTTGGCATTAATGTTCAAATATTCTAATAGATCAAGGTTTCAGAATAAGTCACTAACTGGGTAAAGTTCAGCTGAAAACAAAGCCCCTATTTGTGCCCAGTAACAGCAAACAAGATTATGAGCCTCTATCTTCCACAAGGGAATGCAAACCCCCTCATGTACACGTACAATCAGCCCGGCAGGCAGACGCACACACTTGTAAAGGAAAACAACATTCTTTCCATCTTGGTAAACTATTGCCCTGACATCATTACAAGGCAGATAAAGCCTTCCAGATCACTCATTTGTTTCAAAATGTGCCCTAGGTTACCAATTGTTTTCTCATATTTTTGCCAGCAAGAAAACAAATGCTGTTGTTGCACTCTTTCAATGCTGGATGGCTGATGGCCAAAAAACCAAATACAAATATATACAGTTTGAAAGTTGGCAGATCTTTTTAATATGCGTCCACACTATACTGATTTCTTTTGGACATTTTGACAAAACCGTGAAAATTATCTGAATGGATAAAATTATCCGAATGTGTCCTTTTTTTTTTTTCTGATAAGGGTGGGGGAAGGTGGCTATATCAGATCCAGTGTTCATGCCTAACAGCACAATTTAAAAAGAAAGGAAGACAAGCTTTAATCCCAAGCCACTTCATGCTTTCCACGAAAAAATAAATAAAATAAATAAAAGCCAAACCATAACACAAACTTAAGTAGCTGTATATCATGCATATCTTTTCCTGCATTGAAAATTGTTTTGGAATCTCATACCTCTCCAGGTGGCTTCTCATTTACAGGCTAATGTATAACATTAACAGATTGAACAAAGAACAACAATGATCATTAACAACATTTATACTGTTGGTAATTAAAATGTAGACTTCAAAGTAAACACACAAATTCCTGGAAGAACAATTACCATACCTTGTAGCCACATCTCTGAAAGTAGGCCTCCTCTTCTTTTTTAGCTAACTCACTGCGTTTGAAATATTTCTTATTTCCCTAAAAAAGACGAAAACTGTTAACGGTTTAGTTTTGCATAGTTGGGCAAAAATGGCTCAAACTTCCTTACTTGATTCGGTGAATTCAGCTACATCCTTTCATAGAGATGGCTACATTGTCATGTAAAAGGAGGAACTAGTTGGAAGCACCTCTGAAAATCAGCAATATAGAGTGACTTTGCAGCACATATGTATAAGCAGACTTAAAAGTACAATGTGGTCACCATTGCTTTAAAAAAACACATGTCTGTCATGTCAGGCCATGGTACTCCTTAGCATAAAGCTTTGTTTCAAACGTGCACGAGGCCCCGGTTGGAGTACAGGAATGTTGTTTAAATAAAACATGTCATTTTACACTAAATCAAGGAGGCAGGAGAAATCAGCTTTGTACAGAGTATTTTGTAAGCTTGCTTGGTGCACCTATGTAGAAATGTGCTTGATAAGACCTTGATAAGCTGGCAACTGTGGTCACGCTGAACCATTTCCCTTGATTAATAAGGACTATTACATCTGTCTTCATACTTTGCTGCCTGACCTACAGCAGCCTCCGATTACAGCTCCCTACTTCAACCACTAACGCCAAAACCTAAACTCAGACCCCCATAAAAGTGCTCTGCTTTACTCTGTGTGTTTTTAAGCTAACACATTCAGCGCACACACACACATCTCTGCGACCCTGCCACTGCTGTGAACAGAAGGCAGCAGTGGTGAGGAAAATCGTTCACAAAAGGTGGAACAGATTCTTCTCATCTCTCAGTGCCTGAAATAACTACAACCAGCTCCGAAAGGCAAAGGCACACGGCGAGGCCCTGAAGCCAGGCTGCTTCTGCGCGCCCAACTCTCTGGTCCCCCAACCCCGA